TAGCTTTAAGTCCATCCTCCATTTCTGCTACACCTACGGTGATTGAAAACTCAACACCATGGTTACTATCGTGGCTTTCGTCGTCTAGCACCACCACCCTCCCCCATCTCCCTCCATCTAGCATCGGCTACAGGAGGTGGGCTCTCTTCTCCTCTCCCTTGGAGTCCTGATTTATTTCTTGATTCCCTCAGTTCCATCCCTGGTTGAGGCCTCTCATCTTTGTAATGTTTCTCCTCTTCCTACTCCGCCCTCACTTAGGCGTTGGCACGGTCAGCAACCCCCTTTTCCACCTTCAACAGACGGCCGGGACTACAGTGGCAGTAGGAGAGAACAGCTTATAGGCTATGGTCGATCTCTCCATTCTCTTGCCCCGGTAAGAGGCTGCCTAGTTGGATATGAATGCGGTTACTGATAGTTGTCGTTCATGGAATTGGGTCTACTCCTCCTCTACTCTTTGGGGCCTTTTTGGCTGGCAGGTCATGGGATCCCTTTCACTACAGTGACGCTATCTCTCTCAGAACAAGGGACTACATGAGAGAGGTGGTAAAACACCTGCTTCGCTTTGGGCTCCTCTCCACAGTTGGATCGGCTGGCACCCTACTGCCACCTCCTCTCAAGCTGGCACCTTACTGCCTCAATCGTCGAATGTCCCGGAGGACACATGGTCGCTGGCATGCCTGCCATACACCTCCTCTCCTAGCTTGTCAGTCGCCACCTTCGGAGTGGTTTCCCTTATACCCTATGCACCCAGGGCTTCAGCTCCCTTCTCCTGGCCCTCGTCATATGGCCTAGGAGTTCTTATGATAGATTTGAGTTGTGGCCATTGGCCCTTAGGGGTTCGGTTTGGGTTTCTGCCTTTAGGTGTTTTACTCTTGGGGTTAGGCGTGTTCTTGGTTCACTGTCGGGTAGCCAGCTTTCTTTTGTCGCTTGGCAGTGGGGGTTATTGGTTCGTGGTCTACGGGAAGGATTGCGGAAGTGAGTAGTTTTTTCTACCTCAGAGGGTTTTTTGAGCTCTGTCGTTCGGCCTGGTCCAGGGGGGGGCGGTTTTTTAGGTGTCATAGCTAGCGCTCCATATGCCTTTTTGTCCCATAAACAAATAATAAAATTAGTCAAACAAAAAAAGAAACCAAATCCCTAGCTTTAAGTCCACGCTCTGCACGCTCTGCTTTCCTCTTGCTTAAAAACATTACCGTATTCGGCCAGGCAAAACTCCAGGGTTTTGGGTGGCAACCATCCGAGTCTCCACACACCTAATTCCTTCCCTCACTTAGGCTTCAGTCTCTAAGTGCACAGCCCCCTCATTACCCTGCACAGTCCCCTTCATTATGGAGGGGTCAGGTCCGGGACCTTCAAGGTCTGGCTCCCGAGCCTCCAGCCATGCTTTGCCCTATGAGTCAAGGGCACCAACCCCCTCTCTTCCCACTTATCTTTCTCTGGTAAGAGAAGAGCTAGCCTGCACTTTCTGCCATATAGGGCGGGCAGCCCCTCCAATTTCTCCCCAACCAATTTTCAGCTTCAAGAACTGTCTGCCGGCGAAGCCATCCTCCTACCACTACTATGCACTGCCCTCTCTGGGATCAGCAGCATCATCCAAAGGCTAGAGGCACTCCAGTAGTCCTCCAAGGCTGCTCCCAAGCACCCTCTCTCTCTCCGTGCACTAGAAGCCTCTGTCCGGGACCTCTTTCTGAGGGTCACGG